GATAAATCCTGTTCGTGTGTGAATCAGAAGTTTAATTGTGTAACTTTACGTCGTCTTTAGTTTTATTCACTAATCAGCACGAGAGCAGCAGTTTGTGTCTCAGACCACAGGATGAAAAATGAACTCTGAAATATAGCAGCGCTGCTCAGAGGGCCCAGAGTCAGAATAGTTCTCGGAGGCTTCCACACGTTTTCTGCATTCATTCTTTTATACATTCATGTGGCAGCTCACCAGCGCCACCCGCTGGAGGACAGTTGTAAACCCCCAATGTGCAGGTTGTCACAGTTCTCATCTGACAATTATCTTTTCACTTTCATTGGATTCATTTCTCTTTTGGTTTTTCCTCTTCTTCTTTTCTGTTCACTCCATCTCTCCTCCGTGCATCTGCTTCCTCCTCTCATCCTCCCTCCTCCTCCTCCTCCACCTCCCATCCTCCTCCCTGACCTCCCTCACCCCCGGGAGCAGAGTACAACGCTCGTATTCGGGGCATCAGTGAAAGCATTACACCGCAATCTGACCGCCATCGCTCCTATTCCTTCTCTGGTTTGTCCACTTTCCTTCGCTTTTTGGTTTCTGGCATTTTATTATCACTGTCTTCATTTGTTTATTTCTCACTTTCCTCTGCGTTTTATTCGCTGCACATCACTTCTGAACACTGTGAACGTCCCTCTGTGTGTCCAGCTCTCTGTGTCCAGCTCGTTGTCTGACACACACTATAAAACCTGTTTTTGAACTCTGAGTGGACACCACCACTCACTGAACATTTTGGCCTGTGGCAGGAGTTCGCTCCAGGGGAATGACCCCGGAGGTGACGCAGGAGACAGGCCGGCGTCGGACCACCAGTGAGGGACAGTACCAGAGCAGCCATGAGAGCACGCCGCCGGTTCACTCCCCAGACTTCACCAACAGCCTGGCGCTCAACCCGGGAGGAAGACCCCGAGAGGTGCAGTGTTCATCCTCACGTCATGTGACCATTGTTTTATTGTGACCTCCCTCTTCAGCATCAAGAATCTCTTCTCTACTTTTCTTATGTTCTCTCTCGTGTTGTTATGTCAGGGTCCCATGCACAGCTACCGGGAGGCGTTCGAGGACGACAAGCCGGACGGTTTCAACAGTCCGACCTTTGGAGGCGGTGGTGAGAACTCTCCACAGACCCCCGGCTTCCCTGTGTCGCCTCAGACTCCTTACTTCAACATGTGTAGGTCCAGACAGGGGGCGCTCTCTGATCCTCTCAACACAAAGCTTTAACTGAATCTCTCTCTTTTTCTCAATTGTAAAGAAATATCAGTTCATTACTGAAAGGACGAGTCAGAAGAGACGACAAAGAATTTATTGAAAGTACAATTTTCTTTAAACTCCTGATCCTGGTTCGGCTCCAGTTTAGAAACAAACAATTCACAGGTTCACATCCAATAAATACAGAAACAAAGTTCCAAAGATTCAAATCAGGACAGAAAACTACA